CTAAGTCATAACTAACTGATAACTCAAAAATCCTATTGTAAGCAAGTCATTACTGAGCAACCCAATGATAAGCAATTGAGAACAAAGTCATAAGTAACTGATAAGTCATTCTAACTAATTGATAACTAAGTAATCAATCCTATTTTGAGCAAGTGATAACTAACGGAGAGCCAGAATTATAAGTAATTGGGAACCAAGTGATTCTATTATAACCAATTGTTAACTAAGTACAACAAACTCATTCTAACTAATTGATAACTGATAAATCCTTTTGTAAGCAAGTTATAACTGAGAATCCCAATTATAAGTAATTGATAATTAAGTGATAAATCCTATTATAACCCTGTGATAACCAAGTCATAACTATCTGGTAACTCATTCTAAATAATTGAGAACTTAAGTGATAACCAATTTGTAATTGATAACTACAGTTATAACCAATTGACAACTATTGATAACCAAGTTGTAATTGTTGCGGGGACATGAGAGAAGCCTCCCACAAGGATGATAAAAACATCAAATCATTTGGGCGTCCCTTGGGCAACGTCCTTGCAGACGGCCAATTCTCTCACAGCAGAAGCGACTTGCAGTTTCTCAAGTCGCTCCTGACATGACAAAAAAATTGATAACTACAGTTATAACCAATTGACAACAAAGTTATAATTGCTAACTATAGTTATGACTAATTGATAACGATTAGCCAAGTTATAATGGCGAACTATAGTTATAATTGATAACGAATCAATAGCCAAGTTGCAATTGGTAACTATAATTGTAATAATTGATAACAAATCAATAGCCAAATTATAATTGCGAACTATAGTTATAATTGATCATGAATCAATAGTTGTAACTGATAACTATAGTTGTAATAATTGATCATGAATTAATAGCCAAGTTATAATTGCGAACTATAGTTATAATTGATCATGAATCAATAGGCAAGTTGTAATTGATAACTATAGCTGTAACAATTGATCATAAATTAATAGCCAAGTTATAATTGTGAACTATAGTCATAACTAATTGATAACGAATCAATAGCCAAGTTGTAACTATAGTTGCAATAATTGATCATGACTCAATAGCCAAGTTATAATTGCTAACTATAGTCATAACTAATTCATAATGAATCAATAGCCAAGTTGTAATTGATAACTAAAAGTTGTAATAATTGATCATGAATTAATAGCCAAGTTATAAWTGTGAACTTATAGTCATAAGTAATTGATAACTAATCAATAGCCAAGTTATAATTGCTACTTATAGTGATAATGAATCAATAGTCCAGTAATAATTGATAACTATAGTTATAACGAACTGATAAAGAATCAATAGCCAAGTGGTAACTGATAACTATAGTTGTAATAATTGATCATGAATCAATAGCCAAGTTATTATTGCTTACCATAGCCATAACTAATTGATAAGGAATCAATAGCCAAGTTATTATTGCTAGCTATAGTTATGACTAATCAATAGTCCAGTAATAACTGATAACTATAGTTATAACAAATTGATAAAGAATCAATAGCCAAGTGGTAACTGATAACTATAGTTGTAATTGATCATGAATCAATAGCCAAGTTATAATTGCTAGCTATAGTTATGACTAATCAACAGTCCTGTAATAATTGATAACTCTAGTTATAACGAATTGATAAATCCAAGTGATGATTCAGCTTGAAACTGATTAGTAAGTAGTAAGCAATTGGTAAGAGCTAACCCCATTGATAACTAAGTCCATCCTAATGGATCCCTCCAGCCATAAATAGCTAAGCCCTGGGAAGAGAGCTCTACTCACCAGCTCGGCTCCTCTCCTTCTGAGCCAGGCTGAGCTCAGTGTTGCTATTCCAAGCCACGCGGACACGTGACCTCCGCACGTGCCCGCCCCGGCCACGCCCCCTCACGCCCCTAGCTCCGCCCAGCCCGCCACGCCGCAGTGCTTTCTTAGCCGTTTGGAGCCCTCCGATTGGCCAGGCCGCGGCTCCGCCCCCGCGCTCTCCCATTGGCCTTCCGTCCCTCCGGGGCGGAGCCAGGAGGCGCAGGCGGGCCCATGTGGGAGGCACGTGTCCGGGCCCGGCTGCCTCGCCTCACGTGGCTGCGGCGTGCGGTGGGCGGGGCCCAAGGGGGAAAGGGGGCGGGGCCTCGAGTGCAACAGTCTTTGAGGAATGAATGGATCTGTCAATGAATGAATGAATGGATGCAGAAAAGAGAGGAATTCCAGACTGGGCACAATCAGGGCCGGCCAATCTCCTCCCAACCAAGGATTCACACAGGCAGCAACCAGCCAGGCTTGGAAGCTGCAGTGCCCATCAAGGTGGCCACCTTGGGCACAATCAGGGCCAGCTAATCACCTCCCAACCAAGGTTTCACCCAGGCAGCAACCAGCCACCTTGGGCACAATCAGGGCCAGCTAATCACCTCCCAACCAAGGTTTCACCCAGGCAGCAACCAGCCAGGCTTTGAAGCTGCAAGGCCACTCAGTGCCAATCAAGGTGGCCACCTTGGGCACAATCAGGGCCAGCTAATCACCTCCCAACCAAGGATTTACCCAGGCAGCAGCCAGCCAGGCTTTGAAGCTGCAAGGCCATTCAGTGCCCATCAAGGTGGCCACCTTGGGCACAATCAGGGCCAGCTAATCACCTCCCAACCAAGGATGAGGAATTCCAGACTGGGAACAATCAGGGCCAACTAATCACCTCCCAACCAAGGATTCACCCAGGCAGCAACCAGCCAGGCTTTGAAGCTGCAAGGCCATTCAGTGCTAATCAAGGTGGCCACCTTGAACATCATTCAACAGATATGTAAACCCCACTTGCCCAGTTTCCAACTAATGAAGATAAACATAATATCACACTATTATAATAGCATTACATTATTATTATTATTTCAAAATTATTCTAGTGTATTATAATATTATAAATGTGTGTATATATATATATATATATTGATTTGATATGATATATTTGAATTAATATATTGATATATATAAACATAATATCACACTATTATAGCATCATTCTATTATTATTATTATTGTTATTTCAAAATTATTCTAGTATATTATAATACTATAAATGTATATATATATATATTGATATATATGAATTAATACATTGATATATATAAACATATCACACTATTATAGCATCATTCTATTTTTATTTTTATTATTATTTCAAAATTATTCTAGTATATTATAATACCATAAATGTGTGTATATATATATATATTGATATATTGATATATATGAATTAATATATTGATATATATGAATATATTATTACATAATGGTTAAAATATTTTTAATAATAACATTATAAGTGTAATATTATTTTTATATATTAATCTATTAATATTAATAGATTAATATATTGATATATATTAATATATTTATATATATTTATATACATTAATATATTACTACCTAACGGCGCTCCAGGCAGTCATGCCAGCCACATGACCTTGGAGGTGTCTATGGACAATGCCGGCTCTTCGGCTTAGAAATGGAGATGAGCACCAACTCCCAGAGTCAGACATGGCTGGACTTAATGTCAGGGGACTGACTACCTTTTCCTTTTTTAATTGTTAAAATATTTTTAATAATAATATTATAAATGTAATATTATTTATATATATTAACATTAATATTAGTAGATTGATATATTGATATATATTAATATATTTATATATTATTACCTAATTGTTAAAATATTTTAAATAATAATGTCATAAATGTAATATTATTTTATATATTAACATTAATATTAATACATTAATATTAGTAGATTAATATAATATTTATACATTATTACATCATGTTTTAAATTTTTAATAATATTATAAACGTAATATTATTTATATATATTAATCTATTTATATTAATAGATTAATATTTAGATATATATTAATTAATATATTTATATATTATTACATAATGGTTAAAATAATTTTAATAATAATATATTAATATTTAGATATATATTAATTAATATATTAATATACTATTACCTAATGGTTACAATATTTTTTAATAATAATGTCATAATTTAATGCCATAGGAATACAGTTATCATAACATGAAATATTACAACTGTCATATTATTAAATTATGAGAGAATCAGAAATATAACAACACATTACATAATGTATTATGTAATGTGTTGTTATATTATCGCTGTATTTATTTATTTTAAATAAATACATAAATAAATTAAAATAAATAAATAACTATTATTACAATATTATAGTATCGTGATATATTACAACTGTCATATTAATAAATTATGAGAGAACTATAAAATATAATGTATTACATATCATATATTATGTAATATGTTGTTATAATATAACTATTTATTTTAAATAAATACATAAATAAATTTAAATAAATAAATAACTATTATCACAGTATTATAGTATCGTGATATATTACAAATGTCATATTATTAAATTATGAGAGTACTATAAAATATAATGTATTACGTAATGTGTTCTTAATATTATAACTGTATTTATTTATTTTAAATAAATAAATAAATTTAAATCAATAAATATTATTAAATTACAGTATTATGACAGACGTCTTATATTATGCTGTATTATTATAGTATAACTTCCTTGCTATTAAAAATATTGTTACAAAAGTATTATAATATATTATTACAACTGTATTATAGAAATCACTTTTATTTTAAGTTGTTATTTTAAGTACTATTTCTTAATATTTTCAGATATTAAGAAATATCTGTTATAACTGTATTACAAAAATCACTTTTATTTTAATTTTTATTTAAAGTACTATTTTTAAATATTTTTCACTGCTTGCTTGTGATTTCCAGTGAACTGCATGGGATTTTAATAGGATGTGCAACTTGTTTTATATGCGACGTCTGCATTGTTTTGCATGGTTGCCCTTTTGTGCTGCATTTCTATGTTTGGCATTCAATCAACAACAACAGCGAGAGGACGAAAACAGAGAGCGGATCCCCACTTACTTCTCCGTGTTTCCTTCCATGCTGCTCTGGGGACATATATATATATCACGGTGACACATGTAGGCGCATGCATGCCTCGCCTCGGCCTCAATGGCGCAGGAGAGCATCTTTTGCTGATCCGGAGTGAATGTGGCCCCTCCTGGGAGCCGAGGTCCATCCTGGAAGAGAGAACCCATGGGGAAATAATGACTGCGCATGGATCACAAGGCCGGCGATGAGGATGATTCATGCGCCGATGCTCATTCAGAAATGTCCAAAGGGGCCGCCTGATTGGCCGAAAGCGCCGGAGCGTCAGCACAGAGACTCTGGGGACACAAAGAGAGACTTTGAATGAGTCAGTCGCCTGCTTTCTTCCTATTTTTGAACACACAATCCGATCCCTCCCGACAGAAGTCCATCCAGCCATAAATATGACAAAGAAAGACACTATATTCTATAATATATCTATCATAGAGACGGGTGGGATCCCAAAGGCCATCCAGTCCAACCCTATTCTTCCATTCAAGAAGACACTATCCGATCCCTCCCGACAGATGGCCATCCAGCCATAAATATGACAACGAAACACACTATATTGTATAATATATCTATCATAGAGACGGGTGGGATCCCAAAAGCCATCCAGTCCAACCCTATTTTTCCATTCAAGAAGACACTATCTGATCTCTCCCGACAGATGTCCATCCAGGCATAGATATGACAAAGAGAAACACTATATTCTATAACATATCTATCATAGAGACAGGTGGGATCCCAAAGGCCATCCAGTCCAACCCTACTCTTCCATTGAAGAAGCCACAATATGATCCCTCCCAACAGATGTCCACCCAGCCATAAATATGACAAAGAGAAACACTATCATCTATAATATATCTATCATAGAGATGGGTGTGGTCCCAAAGGCCATCCAGTCCAACCCTATTCTTCAATTCAGGCACCATCCAAGCCTTCCCGACAGATGGCCATACAGTCATAGATATGATAAATAGAGACACTATATTTTATGATATATCTATCATAGAGACAGGTGGGATCCCAAAGGCCATCCAGCCCAACCCTATTCTTCCATTCAAGAAGACATCATTCAATCTCTCCCAACAGATGGCCATCTAGCCATAAATATGACAAAGAGAAACACTATATTCTATAACATATCTATCATAGAGATGGGTGGGATCCCAAAGGCCATCCACTCCAACCCTATTCTTCCATTCAAAAAGACACAATCCGATCCCTCCCGACAGATATCCATCCAGGCATAGATATGACAAAGAAACACATTCTTTGAGATGGGTGAGATCCCAAAGGCCATCCAGTCGAATCCTATTCCATTCAAGAAGATACCACCCGACTTCTCCTGACAGATGGCAATCCAGCAATAGATATGCCAAACACTATATTCTATGATATATGTATTGTAGAATCCTAGAGATGGATGGGTTCCCAAAGACCATCCAGTCCAACCCTATTCTTCCATTCAAGAAGACACAATCCAATCCCTCCCGACAGATGTCAACCCAGCCATAAATATGACAAAGAGAAACACTATAGATGCAGGCGAAACGTCAGGAGAAATGCCTCTAGAACATGGCCCTATAGCCCGAAAAAACCCACAAGAACCTAGTGATTCCAGCCATGAAAGCCTTCGACAATACAGAAACACTATATTCTATAATATATCTACCATAGAGATGGGTGTGGTCCCTAAGGCCATCCAGTCCAACCCTATTCTTCAATTCAGGCACCATCTGAGCCTTCATGACAGATGGCCATACAGTCATAGAAATGATAAATAGAGACACTATATTTTATGATATATCTATCATAGAGACAGGTGGGATCCCAAAGGCCATCCAGCCCAGCCCTATTCTTCAATTCAAGAAGACACCATCCGATCCCTCCCGACAGATGGCCATCCAGCCATAGATATGATAAATACACACTGTATTCTATGATATATCGATCATCCCAAAGTCCATTCAGTTCAAGCTTATTCTTCCATTCAGGAAGACAGCATTTGATCTCTCCCAACAGATGGACATCCAGCCATAGACAAGATAAATATAGACACTATATTCCCATAGATAGGCTACACAGAGACATTATATTCTATATCTATCAAAAAATCCTTGGGAGGGATGGGATCCCCCAAAAGCCATCCAGTCCAACCCTTTTCTGCCATTGCAGGAAGTCACCATCCAATCCCTCCAGGCAGATGGTCATCTAGGTAGGCTCTGATGAAAAACCTCCAGAGAAGGAATAATAATAATAATAATAATACAAAAAAAGAATCCTAGAATTGAAAGAGACCAACCGCCTTCTGCCAGGAAAGAAGACACCATCAAAGCCCTCCCCGCAGATGGCCATCCAGCCCCTGCTTAAAAACCTCTAGAGAAGAAGACTTCATCATCATCATGATTATTATCAAAAATATTATTATTATTATTATTATTAATAATTATTATTATTATAATACAATAATATTATTATATCTCAGAGTTGGAAGGGACATTAATAATAATAATAATAATAATAATAATAATAATAATAATACAATAATAATATTATTATTATATCTCAGAGTTGGAAGGGACTCTCAAGAAATAATAAGGAACTCTCAAGGGCCATCCAGTCCAACCCTATTCTTCCACACAATCAAAACCTTCCCAACAGATGGCCATCCTGCCTCCTCCATAGAAGAAGTCTCCATCACATTCCAAGGGATTCAATGAAGGTTGGAAGAAAAAAAACCTCTTGTCTACTTGAGGCAAGTGTGAATGTTGTAATAAATCACCTTGATTAGCATTTAATGGCCTTGCATCTTCAAGGCCTGGCTGCTTCCTGCATGGGGGAATCCTTTGTTGGGAGCTCAGCAAAGGGGAAGAGGGATCCCCTTACCTCTGCAGGAGTCTACGGTATACCATGCAGCTATGGACAAGTCTATAGAACAAAATATTGTATTGTTGTTGTTGTTGTTGTTGTTGTTGTTGTTATTGCTTTTGAAGGAAATACAATGAAGCAGTGCCATTTCCCATTCTGGCCACACGATGGCGGCAAAGTGGTATATGGCTCAGCTGGCTATTTATTTACATGGAACCCTTTACAGCTCGAATGCAATGTCTCAATTTGGCCACAGGATGGCAGTACAGTGCATAACATCAAGGCGGGTGCAATATCAACTTGTCCACAAGGCGGCACCAAAGGACCAGAGCAGCTCATTGGGAACCTGACATCTTAGTCCAATAATAATAATAATAATAATAATAATAATAATAATAATAATAATAATAATAATAATAATAATAATAATAATAATAATACTTTATTTATACCCCGCCAGCATCTCCCCAAGGGGACTCGGAGTGGCTCACGTGAGGCCAAGCCCAACAACACATCAGTAAAAACAAAACAGCAAGCAAATACAACAGTACCATTAATATAATTTACATATAAACAATAAGACAGAGAATTTAAAACCTTATGGCCAGGCCAGATGTAATAAATTAAAAAAATTAAAATTAGGGTCCTATATGGATCAGAAGTCCCGTCTTAGTCCTATTAGGGTCCTATATGGATCACAAGTCCCATCTGTTAGGGTCTTATACAGATCACAAGTCCCATTCTAGTCTTATTAGGGTCTTATACAGATCAGAAGTCCCATTCCAGTCCTATTATGGTCCTATATGGATCGGAAGTCCCATTTATTAGGGTCTTATATGGATCAGAAGTCCCATTCTAGTCCTATTGGGGTCCTATATGGATCAGTAGTCCCATCTTAGTCCGATTACGGTCCCATATGGATCTGAAGTCCCATCTATTAGGGTCCTATATGGATCAAAAGTCCCATTCTAGTCTTATTAAGGTCTTATATGGAACAGAAGTCCCATCTTAGTCCTATTAGGGCCCTGTATGGATCGGAAGTCCCATCTATTAGGGTCCTATATAGATCGGGTAATCCCATTCTAGTCCTATTAAGGTCCTTTATGGATCAGAAGTCCCATTATGGTCCTATTAGGGTCTTATATGGATCAGGAAGTCCCGTCTTAGTCCTATTAGGGTCCTATATGGATTGGAAGTGCCATTCTAGTCAAATTATGGTCCTATATGGATCAGAAGTACCATCTATTAGGGTCTTATATGGATCACAAGTCCCATTCTAGTCCTATTAGGGTCCTATATGGATCAGAAGTCCCATCTATTAGGGTCCTATGTGGATCAGAAGTCCCATTCTAGTCCTACTAGGGTCCTATATGGATGACAAGTCCTGTCTTAGTCCTATTAGGGTCCTATATGGATCAGAAGTCCATTCTATTAGGGTCCTATGTGGATCAGAAGTCCCATTCTAGTCCTATTAGGGTCCTATATGGATCAGAAGTCCCATCTATTAGGGTCCTATGTGGATCAAAAGTCCCATTCTAGTCCTATTAGGGTCCTATATGGATCACAAGTCCTGTCTTAGTCCTTAGTCCATCCAGAGTTTCAGGGTGCGGTGTCATCTGTACGCAGATGACGTCCAACCCTGTCACTCCTTTCCACCTGCTACTAAGGAGGCTGTCCAAGTCCTGAACCGGTGCTTGGCCGCTGTAACGGACTGGATGAGGGCTAACAGATTGAAACTAAATCCAGACAAGACAGAGGTCCTCCTGGTCAGTCGAAAGGCCGAACAGGGCATAGGGTTACAGCCTGTGCTTGACGGGGTTACACTCCCCCTGAAGGCGCAGGTTCGCAGCTTGGGAGTGATCCTGGACTCATCGCTGAGCCTGGAACCCCAGGTCTCGGCGGTGGTCAGGGGAGCTTTTGCCAGTCTGACTTGGCCACGGTGGTCCACGCTCTGATTACATCCCGTTTAGATTACTGCAACGCTCTCTACGTAGGGTTGCCTTTGAAGACTGCCCGGAAGCTCCAACTAGTCCAATGAGCGGCAGCCAGACTACTAACAGGAGCGGGGTACAGGGAGCATACTACTCCTCTGTTGCGCCAGATCCACTGGCTGCCAGTCAGCTTCCGAGCACAATTCAAAGTGCTGCTCTTAACCTATAAAGCCCTAAACGACTCCGGCCCAATTTACCTGTCCGAACGTATCTTCCCCTATGAGCCATCAAGATTGTTAAGATCGTCTGGAGGGGCCCTGCTCTCGGTCCCACCAGCCTCACAAGTGCGTCTGGTGGGGACGAGGGACAGGGCCTTCTCGGTGGTGGCCCCTCGGCTCTGGAACTCTCTTTCACTGGAGATCAGAACTACCCCTTCTATCTTGACGTTTAGAAAACAGGTGAAAACTTGGCTCTGGAAACTGGCATT